TGCTAACATTTTTTGGTGCAACCAAACACAAAATAAATATGTATTCACCATTGTAAAGTAGAACCATGATGTACCCAGATGTTTAAGGGGTTCTCACCATAGGTGATAGAAATGTTATTTTCAAATAGGGTACAAATCTGTCTCTAACTATTCTAGAGTTTTATGTTCAAAGATAATATAATAAGTTAACTATTAGTAAGTATTTTTCATAATGGGTTCATCCAATATCTGATAACTAGACCCATATTCTCTACCCAGTACCTTATTGTGTGGCTATAATTGCAAAAATTGTCAATTAAATTAAATTAAATTAGAATCAGATCCTTATGCAGTTCTTTCATGACAGAGAGATGACTAGTGTTGTGGAGAGTCAGGGTGCAACAAAGGGCAGCTACCAACAAGTCCTGTCTGCTTGCAAACACATTTATTTATCAATATTGAAAGATGAATTCACATTTTTATGAATAAAGCAATTATAGAGGGATATAGAATGGCACTTTACTGTGCATACATTACCTGGTTACACAGTCTATAATCTATGTTACTGCAGACTCTCTTCATGCATCGATTAAGTGTTTCCATGCATTTCAGTTCTGTGATTGGTGTCAATGGATTCTATTGACTGAAATTTCATAGTACATGTCATTCCAGATAAAGGTGTCTTGATTCTTCACCATTTATTTACAATTCCATAAGATCCTTTCTGTGGCTGGATAATTAACCTGCTTTCAAGCAGTTCAAAATGGGCTTTTTGTGGTTAAATTATTGTTTTTAGGAAACAACAATTCCATAATGTATAACATTTTCCCCCAGTGAAATTCTCAAAGAACAAATCTACCTGTGGCTATAGATCTAAGATAAGAAATTCCTGTCTAAAAGAGAGAAAGACTAGTTCTTTTGATAAAATTTACCCAATTTGTCCTCACACATCCCACTCCTGGACTCACAGTGCTGAGAAAATCTTTTTCATAATCTGCTGTTAAAGGCACTTCTCCAGGGTGCGTAGCTGGAGAAAATATCCATATCATTGTGCTTTGCTTAGAACTCTCTCAAGCCAAGGCTGTGAGTCACTAGGATTACTGTCTAAGAATAAAAACATCTTTAAAGTGCTTTGGTTGAATTTTGTCTTACCCACAATATTAGAGAACTGAGATTTCTTTTATGCTTATTAAACAGATAAACGAGAGGGACATTTCCTCAATTTCTTCCACTGAGCATGCCAACACTCAGCCGGAAGTCCATCCCTGTGAATCAGCACAAGGGGGCTGAAGACTGCATAACCATGGACCAGGAATTTTTGAATAATCATTATCTCAGAATCGTTTTGAGATAAGTCTGAAGAGAGACTTAAAAATAGAGATAAAGCACAGTCAGTCCAATAGAAAAAAACAAAACAGAGCATGAGAAGGAGGACACTCTGGGCAGCTCTCAGCTCAGGGGGAGTTCTGTAGAGAAGCTTGGCCTTCTGAAGGTAGAGGACATGCTGGTGGTGCTTGTGGAGAAGAGATACCATGTAGCCACTGGCCCCTCCCATGGCTCCCTGAAACACTGCATCTCTCAGGACCATGAGAGGGAGAACAAGCCACTTTGTTTTCTGACTTTCTAGCGAAAAATAACAATAGTTGTCACCATTTTCAAGCTGTGACATATTCAGGTTTATACTTGTGATGGAGTGGATTAGGTTCACACTTATTAAAGCATTGAGTATCCAAAAGAATGAAAAGAATGGAAGGATGTGCCATG